TGGTGAGAGGACAAAGGCAGCCAGAGGACAAGCCCCAGACACAACAGAAGCACAAGATGGAGAAGGGCAAATGGGGTCGCCCTACCCCAGCCGACTCAGTGCTGGGGTTGCTGACTACATGGCAAGGAGAAGGGGGTCCCCTAAGGGGAAGGTGGGGTCTGTCTCCCCTCTTTTCCCTTCTTTTCAATCATTTTCTCTCCCCATTTCGTATACAGAAACACACCCAGAACCATATTTTTCAGATCCTCTCTCTCTCTCATAGACACATACACAACTATTCTGTACTATTCTGTTTCTCTCTCATAGATACATACACAACTATTGTTTCTCTATAGACACATATACATTCTCTCTCTCAGATATGAATATTCTGTTTCTCTCTCTCTTTGTCTCTCTCTTTTCATCCAGTTTCTCTCCCCCACCCCTTATCTGCTCTGGGATCTGTGGAGACGCCAGCCTTGCCCTACCTACCAGAGATGCCAAAAATGGGGACACAACTTCTGGACAGATGACCTGGCCACACCCCCAGACCTCTCTCCCCTCCCCCTCCAGACGGCTTTATTACCTCATATGCAGCTCATCTTAAACCAATAGAATTGCTTGGTGAAAATAAAAAAAAGGGGAAGAACTTTATAAAGGAGTCAGTAGAGAACAGAGTTAAAGAAGGAAAGAAGATGTGTGAGTGAACTGTAGGAGCTATAATGAAAATCCAGTGTAGTTGTGTACTGGGGACAGATTTTAAAAGTAGGAGTCAGAAAAGAAAAAAAAACATAAATGATAGTGAATAATTAGGCAGGTAGATAGATATTAAAACAGTGAAAGTAAGTAGAGAAGAATGTATGGGAAAGGTAGGATGAGAGAGAAAGAGGGAGGGAAGAAAAGTTTTAAAGGGGAGCCAGTAGAGCTTAAAAGGAGAATGGGAATCAGGAGAAATGGGGGAGGGAGCAAAGCAGGTCCGAGGGAGGAAGTGAAGAAAAAAATTAAGGTGGGAAGGAAGGAAAAGAGGAGGGAGGGCAGGGGTAAAGATAAAGGAAAGAAGGAATGTGGGGAGGGAGGGAGGGTAGGAGAAAGATGGGAAGAAAGATGATGGAAAAGAAGTAGGAAATGAGGAGGAAAGAAAAGTTTATAAATGATGAGTCAGTAGAAAAAAGTGTTACATAAAGGAGAGAGAAAAATTGTGTGAGAGGGAGAAGCTAATAAGGAAGTCAAATACAATTGTGTGTTAAGGGGATATGATTAAAAAAGGAAGTTAATAGGGGTGAGCAGGCTGGCAGGGGAGGGCAGTTAGGGGGATCAGACTGGCAGGGGAGAGCAGTTAGAGGGATCAGGCAGGCAGGCATTGTGGTTAGGGCAGGCAGGTGAGTGGTTAGGAGCCAGAGTCCTGGATGCAAGAGGGATATCCAACTGCCAGTTTAGGCCCGATCCCCTGAGGTCAGGCTGAGGCCCTCCCTGCCCCCCCCCTCCCCCCCCTGTGTACGAATTTCATGCACCAGGCCTCTAGTTGAGATATAATAGTCATAATTGATATTATATCTTTATAATTGAATGCAGTGCCTTGATCTGAAAGGGGCAGGAGGGAAATGGAGAAACTCAGCATTAAACTCAGCTTTATCCATTAAAACACATTTTATCATAGTCTCTTTTGTTTCCATCCTTTCTTCTCTGGCTCAGGGCCAGGGACTGATGGAGGTCAGTGGAGGAATGGAGTGAGGATGAGTTTTTAGAATAATTCAGGTCAGTGGGGGGAAAAGTAGGAATAAACAATTAGCATTACACAATCCAAATCTTTATGTTGCTGGTTTTCCCCCTTTCTTAAACTTCTTGCATGCTTTATTTTGAATGAGCATTCTAGTCATATTAGTAGGTTGATATTTAAAAATGAAATTCATTACATTTATGTTTGTGGCCTTTTTAAATGTGTTTGCAGCTTTTTTGACCTTCTTATAGCTAATAACCAGAAATTTGAAGAATCAAATTGCAGACCCGAAGATTTGAACAAAAGCATGGAACCTTTATTGAGACACCCTGCATGGGGAAGTGGCCAATAATGGGTGGCCATGGAAGCTTTGTCATCTAGGGGTTTATATTTGCTGCAAGCCTGCTTCATAGCTACCCATGTCCCTACCTGATTGATTCCCTCAGTTCTTGCCCAGCAATGCACCTGGGCTTTCCCTGTTCCTATGCATCAGTTCACCTTATTGCTACAGCCCCTCCCTACGTTCACATACCTCCCGCTCCGAGTCTAAAAAACATTGTTGTTTCTTCATAGTTGACTGTGGTTAGGCTTGCTCAAATTGCAGTGCCTGCCCCTGCTTATGTTGCACCTGCCTTTGTTTTCCACTGGACACCTGCCTTGTCTGCCTACGTGTCAAGCTAACTCCTCTCATTATGGCTTTAACTTGACTGATCTTTATTTGGACAAGCAATATAACAGTCTCCAGGATCCACAGTTAAGAGCAGCCATTCACACGAAGATATCCAGAGGAGATTAAGGAAGAAGGCTACCTCACCAGCAATAAAGTGCGTTGAAGAGCACTTCTTTGTAATCGTTGAAGACTTCCAACACTTGAGATAAGCTAGCTTCTATAACCACTGAGGTGGGGCTGTGGTTTCACCTTTAACTTGATCATGAGAGATAGTTAATGAGAAATTCTAGAAATTACTGAGTATTTTGGGTCAAGGGAAATCAGACAACTCTGGAGAGTGGCTACTGTACTTGGACAGGTTCAAGCCTCGGACTAATGAGAGGGTACAGTCCTCTCATGGCCACGTGCAAGTCCCAGCTTGGAGGGCAGAGCCCTCACAGCACAATTATAGCCAATAGCTGTAGTTGTAAGCTTGAACCTATGGTCCAAGTATGTGGCCCCACGTGTCTGAGTGATGTGGTCTTGATAGAGTTCAGGTGCATGTAATTGAGTAGGATTGAAACCCATGAGAAGGTTGTAAACATCTTGACCACGCCCTTACTTTGCCTCATGGAAACTGGATATAAAATAAAGACATGGCTTGTAGTCTTTGGCACTGTCTCTCTCCATCAGAGAGGGCAGCGTCCAGCTGAGACCCAGCTTTCATTCTCTTGTCTGTCTTTTCTAATCCTTCACCGCCCCCACTCAGGTTCATCCTTGGCCGTACTGGCGCGGCACAGACAACAGTTGTTTCTAAATGATACTACTACTCCCACATCTAAAAATTTTTAACATCAAAATATGATTACCAAATAATTTGAGGATGTAAAGATAATTTCCCAACTGTATCATAGTTCTCTTTCTGTGCCTCCAATGTTCTGTATGCTTGTCAAGGATTATGTCCTATAAAATTTTTTAAACTTGAGGCAAAATAAAGATTTAGCAGTATTAGCCAGATAGAATCTTGATAGAAAATAAGAATTGTCTTTGTATTCTAATTTGTTTTGAACCCTATTGTTACATTGGTATTTTATTTCAATAATTTAATAAATCAGTTGTGTGTACTAAATTCATAAATTTTAACACATAATGAGAATTAAACAGAAATGTACTGTTGTTTAACAATTTTAGAGAGATACTTCTTAAAAATGGTTAGGAATTTATTACTCTTAATACCACATTGTTACCAAATTATATATTATTATTTTTCCTCCTGAAAGTGATTGCTGTTCATTTTAAATGTTTGTATTTTTATATATTTTTTATTTTTTTGTTATTTAGGTTGTCTGTAACCTGAGAGAATTTAATAATTATGGGCAATATCTTATGAGTCTAAAGTTAGATATCAAAAACAACTACTTAAACAACAAGTAAGTTAAATACTTAAATTTGTTTTCTTACATAGGGGTTGGAAGAAAGCTTTACTCATATGAAAATTATTTTCTTATAGTATTTTTACCTTCAATTATGACACATTAATTAAATATGTTTTTCCAAATGTAAATTTAGAGCAGGAATAGAGAATAATTTGAGGGGTTGCTTTATTGGGCCAAGAAAGGGAAAGGGACAGGTCCTCTATATGTCAGTGATTGTTAGCAGAAATCCGTAATTAAATTGCTATTCTAATATGTTCCTTCTGTCTGAGTTGGGGCCAATAGGAAGAGTCTATTGTGGCAGAAAGATTCTGAAGCTGGCCTTTAAGAGTAGCTTTTTATGATACATTTTTAAGGGCTGACAGCATTAAATTTGAGGAAGTTCGTGCAAAGTCAAAATTAGAGGTTTGATTATATCTAATGCCAATATGGAGATGCATTGTCCCTGAAAGAAAATGTATAAGCTCTACAGATATTACGTGCTTATGTTCAGCCATTACCACTCCATGGTCCAGCCCATATCTTAGGAAATGAAGGGATATCATTCTTTTTTTTCTCCTCCTCTTTCCTCCTGCATTAAGGTGAGGGATTGGGCTGCATAGCCTGACTTTTATATTCTGTGGGTCCATTTTGTGGTAGTTCCATAAGCATATTGACATACCAGAGATCAGGACTACAAATGGAAGATTTGTTGAAAGCTCTGCAAGTCACAGGGAGCCAGGATACATCTTTTTCTTCCGGAAATTCAAACCTGTTTTTTTTTTCTAGATTTGAAATCAATTCTCAGATATTCCAGCCGTCTTTGGAAACTCATATCCCTAAACCCACTGAGTTATGGATAATTACTGTGCAAAAATGTTTTGAAGGAATCTGCTCCACATTTTACCATTGTCTTGGCCATAAGACCAGATACTGTCACGGTAGGGAGATCTGTATGACTGAGCATGGTGAGAGCTGGCTTACAAGTCCTTGAATAGCACTGAGAGAAAAACTGAAATTCCTGAGTTCAAGAAGTAAAACTTGAGCAAGGAGGTGGTCTGGGCATTTCAAAGCAGCTGATGCCACTAGATAGGCAAGACGCGATTCACCTTCTCCTGCATTTGCACTTTATTTAGATATTTGAATATGACAAGTAGGAAATTAGACCAACGTGAGGGCACAGCAGAAGAGCAGCACCTCCTCTGGATGGACAGAGGAAAGATGACAGCAGGAACAAACAGGAAGAAAATTTAGTCTCCCTAAACTGTGAAGAGGTCAGAGATACATTTAAAATATGAAGAGAAATCTGTGTGCAATGTTTTGTTTGTAAATCATTTTAGCTGTCTGTCATACTTCTTGAAGTTATTTAAGTCTAAATAATTTACCCACATTAATCTTTCTTTTTTAAAAAAATATATTTTATTGATTTTTTACAGAGCGAAAGGGAGAGAGATAGAGAGTTAGAAACATTGATGAGAGAGAAACATCGATCCAGCTGCCTCCTGCACACCTTCTACTGGGGATGTGCCCGCAACCAAGGTACATGCCCTTGACCGGAATCAAACCTGAGACTTTTTAGTCTGCAGGTTGACACTCTATCCACTGAGCCAAACCGGTTAGGGCACATTAATCTTTCTTTACAGCTATTATATACAAGTTGTTACATTAATAACGAGAATGACACCACTAACTATATGTATGAGTTAATCATCTGCTCTGAAAGAGATGATTGTGGAAGTTATTAGACAACATTTAACTCCCTGATCGCTCTAAAATGTTAGTAAAGGTGAATTGGGCGTTTTAAGTTTAGCTTTAGTAAAAGATAACCATGCCAAAAACAACCACGCCTGCCTTCCAAGTTAGGAGTGCAGGAAGGAGAGAAGCCCATTCGAAAGCATGTATGACTTTCCCTACACTTGACCTGGTTTCTGTTAGGCTCTTGACTTGTACTAATTTTCTTGGTGGTGGTGGACAAAATACAAGGGGTTACTGTAAACACTAATCACAGCAACACTGTGCTCTCCAGGAATGGAAGACAAAGGAGATGCTGCTTCTGACAGAGACTGTAGAAGGTGTTCAGAGAGAAGCTGCGATAGAGGAATAATGGAGCAGAAGTAGAGGAGAGAGTGACAAGCAGGTAGAGTTAACTTTCACCTCTAATCTGGGCTGTTAGAGGAGAAGCTTTTGCTAGCTTGGATTTTCAAAAGTACCCTATACAAGAGGATAGTGTATCAGCTCCCTCAAATGATATGTGTTACACAAAACTGAAAGTTATAGACATGTTTACTATATTTTGGCCATATTATATTCTGACTAATATAAAAAGTACTGCCCTATTATTTGAGATAACTGCTTTTGACTTTATCTCACACCATAAACTATACTTATAATTTCCATAGAAAAATATAACTGATTTTTTCTTAGAATCAGAATTTCTTAGAAAATGTTCTCATTTCATCACTAATTAATTTATGAGTAAGTACTTTTAATTTTAGATAATATATAATATTTTATGATTTAGTCACAATTTTATTAATATTCAAAATTCAAGTATGTATGACAATATTTTCATTATACTTTTGTCTCATGTGCATTTTCATGTGTATTATCAGGAACTCACTGCTCAGATGCCAAGTTCAGCTCATTCCAATTTATTTTAATTATTATTTTCTAATATTCAAATTTTCACCAATTTTTTTGGGGTGGGCATTCTCTCCAAGTTGGCTTTAATTTATTTATTCATTTTTCTTCCAGATGCCTCTGACAATATCACTGTTTTTGGAGAGCCACAGAATGCCCCGTATTTCCCCTTCATTTTTACTTGATGCCAATTTCTCTTCCATGAGTCCTAGCCAACCTTAGTGGCAACCAGTACAATGGATAAACTCTGGCCCTGGGAATCCCATTAGACGTGACCACTGATGGGAGGCATGGTGACACCACAGGCTGCTTAAGGTGTGTTATTGGCAGAGCTTTTTCAAGTACTGACATTTCCAATGTACTTATTCTAAATCGTCTTTTTTACATCATGTTTTACTACCTAGAACCTCTGAATTCATTTGTGTGTGTTTATCAATATTTTTATAACTTTTCTTTCAGATTTGACATTCCATGTATTTTTACTCCAAATGATGGGCTTAAATTAGAGTTACAAAAATCTCCAAAAGGTTTTTGCAACTGTATATTTGTCAAAGTAAGTCTGTTTTTGAACTCTTTTTGTTTGCTCCGTGAGTTGTTTAATTTACTGTCTGAGTATTGTATTTTTAATAATTTTTAAATAAGTAGTATTAGCCTTTCAAGTTTTGTCTTCCTTTTTGAAGTTGTTTTGACTAAACTAAGCCCTTTAACATATTCATACACATTTTAGAATTAGCTCATCAATTTCTACCAAGAAATCTTGCTGGGATGTTGATTGGCATTATGTTGACTCCATAACTCAGTTTGGGAACAATCAATTCTTGATAATAGTGAGTTTTCCAACTCATGAACCAAATATGTCTCTCCATTTATTTGGGTATCATTAGTTTTCTTATCAATATTATAAGTTTGCAGAGTACAAGTCTTACACATCTTTTTAATCTATTTATCCCTAGTTACTTCATAATTTTTACTATTTGTATTTGTACTTTTTTCAGATTAGATGTTAGTATATAGAAAAGCAATGTGATATTCCTCTTGTTCTGCATTATTAAAAATCATTTATTAGTTCTAGTACTATTCTTCCCGAAGCCAATTGATATTCTACACAAATGAACAGGTGGTCTGTAAATAAAGGGAGTTTTATTTCTTCTCTTCAAATTCTCTTTGTATTTCTCTTCTTGCCTAATAGCATGGACTACAGCCTCCAATGTAGAATAGAAGCAGTGATGATACCATTATTGTCAAATACTTCTTTATTCCCTCCCTCATCTCTACAGAAATATTAGGCTGCTTAGTGTTGTCCCACATCTCACTGATACTCTTCATTTTGTCATTTTGTTTCTCTTTGTCTCTTTCTTTGGATAGTTTCTGTTCCTCAACAGGAATTAATCTCTTCTTTTGAATTGTCTACTATGCCTTTAATGTGTTCATTGTATTACTACCTCACACATTTACAATTTTATTTTGTTCATTTTTATATCTTTCATGTCACTTCTTTGCCTTATTAATATGTGGAGTAAATTATGTTATCTATGTTAATGTTCTTTTCTTTAATTCTAACATTTGTGTCATGTCTGAGTCAAATTTGACTAACTTAATCATTTTATGGGCCATCTTTCTCTTCCTCTTTATATTCTTAGTAGTCTTTGATTGGATGCCAGATATTATGAATTTAACTTTTTGGGTGCTGAGGATTTTTATGTTGTTATAAATGTTTTTAGCTTTTTCCTTGGATGTAGATAATTTATTTAGGAACAGTTTGCTATAAGACTTTCTTTTTAAAATTGGTTAGATGGAGCCAGAACCATGTTTAATCTGGGACTAGTAGTTCCCCACTACTGAGGCAAGACCCATTTCAATACTCTACCCAACACTGTGTGAATAACATGTTTTCAGAGAGGCTGTTGAGGCTACACATGACAGGTGGGTGAGGAGCGCTGTTCTCTCTAATTGTTTAGGATGGGCCTTTCTGTGGCCTTGGATAGTTTTTCACATGCATGTACTGATCCAATCTCTTGCTGACTATGCTAGGGAACCCTCTGAGGAGATCTGGGGTTCTTGCTCTGTGCAGTCCTATCCTTTCTGATACATCCAGGATCAATATTAGCCCCGAGATTCACAAAGGGAAGTCACATTTCATGTATTATGTCATGTTTACCTATGGTCGGCCTGCATGACTGTGGTTAAGTCACTCAGACATCCTCCAATTGAAGGTGATTTAGAAATTCCCTCAGCTTCCCAGGACAGCTATGAATTAAGAGACCTTTTCTGATCTGAACCTGGACTGGTTCCCTGAATATGTGTAGTGAAGTAAATTGCATCTGCATGTTAAATATGTATATTCATCATGTTTGATCATAAACGGAAATTTACCCTTAATATATTACCCTCCCAGATTCATACTCAGAGTAACCTCATAAGCCACACGACAGGAATGATTGTTCATTTCCAATATAATATCATAATATAATTTTTTTGCATATCTAAGTAGCAAGTAACCAATATATTGTCTTTAATGTTTTAGAAAGAAGCACTTTTAGATGAAAAAATGGCTTACAATTTTCCAAAGTAAGAAAATGCATTCACAAGAGAAGACATGGGAAAAAATGCATCTGATTACAGAGGACAAGATGGAACATGGTGTGAATGCAAGAGCTTTAAAAGTTGATGTGGTTCTGTAGAAAGCACTCTTCCATGTTTTTACACTAAAATTCTTTTGTAAAACTTTGCTTACACTTGCTCTACTTGCTTTGTACCAGGCACAGTTCTAGGCATTTCCCTATTATAGTTCAAGGTGAAAAGTCAACATATGTGTAAAAAACAAACCAAATAATCTTACCAAGTGGTTCTGTGGACAAGCTTGTCTATACTGCAGTTCTATCCAATTTCCCTATATTTATGTAGTTTTTTTACACTGAAACTTGAAAAAGTTGCATGTAAGATAACAGCTATATACATACCAATATAGTTTTCTGCTATTTTTTTTAGCCATAGGAATAATAGCGAATACCAGAGCAAAACAAAGGGAAGGAAGAATGGGAGGAGTTAGAGAAGGAAGGAAAGTAATAAAGAATTGAAGGGAAAAAAGGGAGGAAATGAAGAAAGTTTAAAGGAGGAACATCAGGTCAGGACTTGCCCTGCCTTCTTTCTACCACCTTCCTTTGATTTATAACATTATAAAACTATAGAGGACTCTATCATATCAGTTTAATTAATAATATTTAAAATTGCATGGCCAGAATGCAAAAAATGTAGACCTGTTTTAATTATCAGTGACTGTGTAGTATCGGGAAAACATGATCATCTTCCATGCAGTTATCCTCAAAGCATCCATCCATCCTATCTGTCCCACTAGTCCTGTTTCTAGGTGAGAGCCTACCTATGTCACTCCAGTAAATTACTAACTAATCTTCACCGGCTCTTAATTTAACCTACTTCAAATCCATTTTATTTAAACTGCTACCTAATGATACTTTTTAAAACTCTTTTTATTGTTTCTTTTCCTGGACCCAAAACTTAAAGATCCCCATTACCTCTCAAATGAAGCTCAGACTTCTTAGGCAACCAACCATTCATCACATTCATCACTGTCTAGAGTCCACACCCAATCTAACCTTTTTACTTTATTTCACATATCGCCCTGAAGAAGGCTGCTGCTATGACCTAAGCTTTACTTATATAGGCTCTTGAGCCAAACCGCTGAAGTCCAAGTCCTGCTTCACCATTTTACCAACCATGTCAGTAGCTTGGACAAGTAACATCAACCATGTAGAGTAAGAAAAGATTTCTTTAGAAGTAGGCAAAATATTTAAACAAACACTTTGAAAAAAAAATCATGGATGAGTCCAGGATAAGATGTTCAGTAAGTAAGTAGATTAACAATGATGGCAAACCTCCTCAATGATATACAACTGTACAATTAAAAGGAAGTGAACTGATGATACATGCCACAACATGGGTGAATCTAAAAATAACAGTCCTCTGTGAATTGAAATAGACATAAACTGTATATTACATGATCCCATTTATATTAAATTCTAGAATATTTTTTAATATATTTTTTTATTGATTAAGATATTACATATGTGTCCTTATATCCACGTTACCCCCTACCCCCCCCCCCGCTCATGCCCTCACCCCCCCCATTGTCCGTGTCCATTGGTTAGACCTATATGCTTGCATGTAAGTCCTTTGGTTGATCTTTCCCCCTTACCCCCACCCTTCCCTACCTTCCCTCCAAGGCCCGACAGTCCAATCAATGCCTCTCCATCTCTGGATCAGTCCTTGTTCATCAGTTTATGATGTTCATTATATTCCACAAATGAGTGAGATCATGTGGTATTTATCCTTCTCTGACTGGCTTATTTCACTTAGCATAATGCTCTCTAGTTCCATCCATGCTGTGGCAAATGGTAAGAGTTCCTTTTTCTTCTTCCTCTTCTTAAAGAATACCTTTCAGCATTTCATATAATGCTGGTTTGGTGGTGATGAACTCCTTTAGCTTTTTCTTATCTGTGAAGCTCTTTATCTGACCTTCAATTCTGAATGATAGCTTTGCTGGATAAAGTAATCTTGGTTGTAGGTTCTTGCTATTCATCACTTTGAATATTTCTTGCCACTCCATTCTGGCCTGCATGGTTTCTGTTGAGAAATCAGCTGACAGTCGTATGGGTACTCTCTTGTAGGTAACTGACTTTTTTTCTCTTGCTGCTTTTAAGACTCTCTCTTTGTCTTTTGCTCTTGGCATTTTAATTATGATGTGTCTTGGTGTGATCCTCTTTGGATTCCTTTTGTTTGGGGTTCTCTGTGCTTCCTGGACTTGGAAGTCTATTTCTTTCAGCAGGCAGGGGAAGTTTTCTGTCATTATTTCTTCAAATAGGTTTTCAATATCTTGCCCTCTCTCTTCTTCTGGTACCCCTATAATTCTGATGTTGGTACACTTGAAGTTGTCCCAGAGGCCCCTTACACTATCTTCGTATTTTTGGATTCTTTTTTCATTTTGCTTTTCCGGTTGGGTGTTTTTTGCTTCTTCGTATTTCAAATCTTTGACTTGATTCTTGCGCTCCTCTGGTCTGCTGTTGGGAGTCTGTATAATATTTTTTATTTCAGTCAGTGTATGCTTAATTTCTAGTTGGTCCTTTATCACAACAT